GTGGCGGGAAATTTAAATAAACTTTTCGATACACAAATTAGACATTAGAAATGGATTAGGTATATTCAACTTGTGTTTATTTGTATAATTCAATTTGAAATAATAAAATAAAATGGGGAAGTTTCAAATGAAGTGATTTTTGCAATCTTTTTTTATTTATAAAGTACGATAAGCTTCCGATACAAGAAGTAAAAAATACAGCAGAATATAAACAATGAAATATTTATACTTTACATGACAACGCATATAACAATCTTATGCTTTTTGATAAATTATGACATTTTTTAATATCATTTTTCATTTTAAAATTAACATTTCAATAATTTCCGTATATTTTTTAGAATATTTTTGGCTGCAATGGCATCGTATCGAATCACTTCTTGATCACAATTTGTTGATAATCTAAAAGTTCTTTGCAAAAAGAAAAATGCCATGCACTCTATGTCGATTTGTTGATGCCCTCGAACGGTGTGCGGAGGTTCTGGCTCCACAATATTCTCTTCAACAGCTTTTTTCCTGCTTTTGCTATTTTATAGGTTAAAGTAATCAGCTGTGCGAGCGATCACGTAGCATAATGTGACATATAACAAGGACTGACAACTTATAAATAATAAACTCAGCATACTCTTGCGCTTTTGCCAAGTTTCTGTTGCAACTTTCGGCATTTATTTATGCATATTGGGTAAAAAGACTATGAGAAACATCCATATTGACTGTATTAGTCGCCATAATCCTTCAAGAAAATATATTTTGAATTCAAGAATGATTTAAAATATACTTCATAATCATGCAGTAGTCAAATAACTCGATTTTGATGAACAAATACATCAAAATTGGTCGCAATTCGCAATGTCTACGCACGCCACCGATTTTTCACCTCTTAGTCACAGAAAAACCCATATAAAACCTGAAGGGTCTTGAAACAGAAACGCTTGGTGGGCATTAAAATATTAGCTCCTGTTCCATTGATATTCCTGCATTTGCATTTTCGTTAATGAACATAATAAATTCTTCATAGGGTTAGGGGCAGCTGTGACTAATCGGATTTTTCGTTTAACCATTGGCAGAGGAACATCGAGAGGGGCACGTGGTTGATCACAAAGGCCGCCTGTCGACAGGACGTGGCGCCTCACGCAGAGGGGGGCTCCGAAGGCCCCGCACCAGACGCACTCCGCACCTGATGTCTCGACGAGCCGGTCTGGGGACGATAATCGGACATTTTTTAATGCCCCTTTTATAATAAATCGCGACGGCATCGTTATCGTTTCGAGTACAACGGTTTAGTTTACGATAATTCGGTTGAGTTCGATTATGAGTTGCGAATTAGTGATATTTCGAGATATAGTCTTACATGTGGATTTCAGTATAAATTATAAACACAAAAATAAGTTTTAAATGAAAATACCAATACGTACAGCACTAACACACGGAATAATAAGGTGAATCATTTCTATTGTGACCACGGTGCTAGATGTGGACATGCATGCTACATTACTACTTAAATTTGTTGACACGAAAAACTATTCCTTAGGCTTATTCTTCTTAATATGTCTAATAGCGCTATCTGATAGATAAATCGATGAAATGTACCCTTCTACGGAAAACTTTATCAAGTAAAAATATTTTTAATTCATTTTAAAGCTGTTCGAGATTAATCAGAGCTGACGAGACTCATTCTTAATGCTTTAGTTACTCGAGAAGATTATATTGTACGCATTACAGCCATTAATAAAAATGCAAATTCTTATGAAACCATATTATGTAGCATAAAATATATTTTTTAAAGTAATACAGATATTTACTTTATTCATGATAAAATTCTTCCACGAACACTATGATTTTATATGATACATGTGTGATTTACAGAAACCGTAAATACACGACGCTGACTTAAGGATTTCTATATTTACTATATTCTGATAATTAACACTTACAAAGATTTTTTGGTTTTTCCCTCCTGATGGCATGGCGGCGCGAATTTTTTCAAAGGCTACCACAAACATGTTTTCGTAAAAATCACCTTGACACCTTAGAAAATATATAAATCATCGCCGATTATCCGTATCTCAACATTTTTACATTCTAAACTTTAGTAAATAAGAGCACAGGACTAGATAAAAAAATCTGATAATGACACTTTAAATGCTGCTCTCATCATATCTATTTTTAATTAGCTCTACAAGTTTACTCTGGCATCGTACACAATACTCTTATCTCTGCAGCAGCCATTACATGTTTTTTTTTTTACGTAAACAGCACTTTCTGCGGATTAAGAAAGCGAGCGTTTCAAAAATCACTCCCGTTTTCGATACGACAACGGGCAACTCTGTGACGTGGTCAAGTGTAAATTCTACTCTCGCAATATCTCTTACAAAACATGTCGGCTGCAAAAATGTCACATTAACTCGGATCGGCTTCTGGCAGCGCGACCTTGCTATTCTGAAGGCAACCAGTTACACCACACACGACTGTACACACCAGCAAATATTTTAAATTAATTACAGAAAGAATATCCCGCGTTTCAAACGTACAGTCGAGTAAGTTTCGCCTTTACAATAGTCGTGTTGAATATTGTTCCATACAACTGTACTCAACTATGTAAATCCTTTGCCATTTTATTACCTCTATTACTGCAGCGTGTGAATTGCCTACGTTTTTGAATAAATGATATTATTGTGTCTGTAATTTAAAGCGTATCCAATTTAGCGAATAAGCGTCATTCACAATAAGTGGCAATGCTATTTCAAACGGAATATAGTCATAGCAAGCCTTGTTTTTATGAATGATCAGTTGGTGGCCCATACACGACTGTTCTTTCTTACGAGACAGATCCAACAACACTAGTCGCCCGTGTATGGTTAACTTTAATTATGAACTGTATGCTGATGTAGCCTGTGTAAGTTCATATGTTTTGTTTTAAATTCATTTAACTATAAAATAATAATATCCATTGCATATAAAACTAAGCAATCTTTTAGCTTAACGCCTCTGTGTAATGTACCGGAATATTTTTCACCCAAGTCGGGCTAGTTACAAACTAAAACCAAAAAATAATAATGCATCCGATTCAACTATTGCCGGTGGTTAGAGTTAAAAACGCCTGTAGGTGGTCTGCACGTTAATAAAAAACAAAATAAGTTTAATTTGGAGCCAGACAGTATGCCATGAAACGTTTAAGATTTTTTATTTGACTTTCTACTTAACAGAGGTCAGACGAGAGAAAGACTGGCGCTAAACAGAATTCCTGAAACAAACATTAACGCTAAAGTAAACGCACTAAATCAAGCTGTTCCTAATACATTTTAAGGCTATAAATAGTTTTAAAACCGTGTAGCTTTGAATGCGTATTAGAGGTGAATTTGTTTCAACAATTTCTAAAACAGTTCAACTAATTCCGCACCAAAAAATATTCATAAAAGGGTTAAATGTAGCATCCTTGTGGCATACCCGCGTTATTAAGTACCTAATTAGTTAAACGATGACGCGGAATTAAAAACGCTTGTGTCTCGTTTGAAAACTTTGAAAATAACATTGTAGATAACTTGTAGACAATTAATATTATGACTTGGCAGTAATAATTGCGGTATCTAGTATCTGCCTACATGTGTAGAATTTATTTCTACAATCTATTTTTACGGCGTTTGTCGGTACGAAATTTAACATTTAAAATGTACAGTGTAAATACTGTTGCTGATATGTTATGTCATATGGTAATTGTATTCGCTGATTTCCATTTTATCACCTGTCAAACAATTCCGAAATTGTGATTCGCAGCTGATCAACAGTTGGGAATATTTTTTCGTTTAATCATGTCCAAATAGCATGATAAAAAATTCCATGAGCGCATTTCACACACGCCGTAAAGAAAATTTAATTTGGGTCGTATGTATGTACAAGGTCGTTCGTCCCTTATCTTATTTACCTTTCTATCTAGGAAAAAATGGTAAAGACCAAAGGTTTAGGAAATTTTCTTTCTATTCAAAGAACTACATAAAACAACAATTGACTGTTGCGTTTCGAAGATATAAAACAAACTTTTTTTGTTGAAGACGCTGTATATTTTCCAGTTCAAAATAACGTTTAAACAAATTTTTTATGCATTTACAAAGGAGGAGGGTTTTCGGCAATAACAATTAATTGATCCTAAACATATGGAATATGATAAAGCAACAACGATTCTGGTCAAAACGGAACCTCCACCCAAAACATTAAAAAACTTAACAACATAATAAAACAATTTTTCTTACATCTGATGCACAGAATCATATAAATAACATTTTTAGTGTACAAATTAAGTAAAATATACTTAAAAAAAAATTCCCTCTGCCCTTGTTCTACTCAAATATACAGGGTGTTCCATTTAAATTAACAAAGTTAACATCCGCGGCCATTTTGTTTGGACTTCATTTGTTTTTCTTTCATATTTTACATTTTTGTAAACTCTTAAAACAAAAAAGTTAAAGGGGGGGTCAAAATATAGTGAATCACCCTGTACATCATAAGTAAAACATTGTTAGAGTTACATTTTCTTCAACACCTTGTATCTCGTGGCTTTAGAGCTTTGGATCATTAAAGGTTTCTTGGGCTAAAATGACGCCAAAACACCATGTAAAGGAATAATCCGATTAGAAATGCGGCATAAAGTATAAAAAGCTTGTACTGTGTACTCATAAATTATAAATACATGCACGCATTTAGGATGTTGATAATGTTATAAACAACGATATACGTTAAGATTAAGCCCATTGGCAAAGGATATAGTTTCCACACACACTCCCCTTTTGACGTCTAGCCTGAAATTTATTACAGCTTCACTGGTATACAAACAGTTCCAATTTCCTGCTGTTTTTTTTAATAAAACTGTAAAGCAAACGTGTTTCCCGCAGTTTCTCGATTAATAGTGAAGGTCAATAGTATTTTTTACTCTATTCAAGAAATAGTGTTTCAATTTTATCTCCGACTTTTAGCGACTTATGATTTTTTAATGAAAAAAGGCTTACCTTCAGGTTTTAACCGATCCACGTTCGTTCGGCTATACGGTGGAGGTGGCGTCTCTGAAAGTAAAAATAAAATACCAGATTAATGGCCACGTGACAGCTTAATTATCAAAAATAACGTACACCGCGCTAAAACACTCATCGCGACCTTGTGGGAATGGTTTACTGACGCCCACGGAACTATTATACGGTACTATTTGAATAAAACGAGTAAACAGTTTGGGTAGGGATATGTCATAACGCTAAAAATGTGTAAAAAATATAAATAAGCGGTTGCCATGTTCACGCATGTCGCATCAGAGATCTGGCTGTGTGGTTTAGTTCATATTTCGTGTACGAGTAGTCTTCAACCAATGCACGAAAAGTAATTTTATACAAAAAATATTTTCGCATAATTCCACAAACAAAAAGTGTCTCAACGTAATATAATATGTACATTGTGAACACATATTTTTCCACAATGTTGTTTTTATATAAAATTGAGATAGATTTGATCTTGGCATGCGCAGTAAGAGTTCTTTGCTTTACCTGTGGTTTTTGCGCCTGTAAAGTTTGTATTTTGTAACTTATGACTTATTTTATTAAATTGCAAAATGCAAGTTATATTTTGAACAGTTTTGATCTCAGGCAACTTTATTCGAAGTTGTTAAATGTTGTTGATATCCGTCTTGGTTGTGAATAAAAGTAAAAGTGTACAAAACAGATTACAATAAATGGATTTACTTGAGAAACTGGAAGATATCAATAGCATGTCGGCATTTCTTATTTACTGGCACGTGTTGGTTGCAAAATGCTGTTGATATGTACATTAGAAGTCGTATTTATTGTTAACAGCATTCATTTGTAGACTGGATTTGTGTTTTACACTTCATTCTTCCTATACTTATGTGTATTGTTTTTATAATTTTAATGTAATAACGTATATATGTGTAATAATTTGTGGTATATATTTATATTTTTTTTCAATAACCCAATATAATTTCTAGAAAATTTGTAATTATTTATAAGTATTGTAACAGTAATAGGTAATAAAAGCTACAATATGTAGGAAAATCTACAAAATGTTGACATTTTGTTAGTATTTTTGCCCATTAAATTAAATTAAATCATTAGCCGAAGTTTCATTAATCTACGCCAATCATGTTACGAGATATTTAAATATATCTGATATAAAACATTCACAAAAACCTGCCGTATTTTGAATAAATAGTAGATTTTAATTAATTAGTGTACAGTGTAGTGTATAATAGTGTAAGGCAGTTTATGAATCCGATAAAGAAATGTTCGAGGAATGACTTGTATTTCTTAGTTAATCAATTCCATTTTATGCAGCATTTTAGAAAATCTAAGCAAGTTAAAAGCAAAATCTCTTCAATTATATAAGTTTTCTTCGGGGTATAAAACAACTGACAATACATTCAAAATCAGGTAAAAAAGCATGTTTTTACATCGTGTGTGTATTATAAACAAAATCACATCCCGCAGAATGCTTTTAGCTTTAACATATGCATTAATCACAATTACTGGGTATCTTTACTCTGCTGGACAAAACAGAAAAGGTACATTTTCTGATGTTTACATGTCCTCCGTGATCTTTCAATGCGAAAAATTAAAGGAAGTTACTCTAGTTTAGCGTTACGCTTCGTCACTTCCTGGATGGGTCTATTTGTTCTATCATTGTCTTACTAAAAGTGCGATTACTTGTCTGTAAAACGACAATCTTGATGTCACTACTTTTAAAAATTTTTCTTAAAAGAAAATGACTATATTGTGGAGGGTGTCATTATTTGTAAAATAAAATTTGCCATGAAACTGTACTTTGTCTGGTTTTTAGTATCTGTACAAACTTTCCGTGCTATTGCTTGGTGGAAATAAGTTCGTGCCTCAACCCAGTCAACCAATTTTTCAAAAATCCATAATAGGAACTTTTGAACATTTTTTCGCGCCAGTTTCGAATCCCCTTGTATATAGCTACGTCGGGTTTGACCATGTAGAGAAACCAGTTCATTCACACGACGGCTGAGAGCTACAAGAGAGAAGTATCTAATCAAAAGAAGGTACCTACGTATTTACAGGTAAATTTTAGCTGAAAATAATTATACGTGGTCGTCTATGAATGAAAGGCCGTGTGGGACGTGTTTTATTGTAAAAAGATTATAATTTGAATACATTAGTCGGTACTATTTTAAAAAACGAGTCAAGTATTGACCGGCCTTTCATAAACAACTGATTATTACGAAGTTGCCTGAAAACACTTAAGATAACCGCTGGAGGAAGGTAGGAATACTCTCTAATAGCCCAGATATGGAGTCGGGACGGGTTCCATTCTCCGACCATTGGCGTGCGCATACCGCGAGGTTTATTGTTATTGCCCGAATTCATTATAGGTCAAATGTAGGTGGGTTCATTAATGATTTCTCCGCGAACCGTACGTGCAAAACTGAATTACTTGATAAGATGTAACATATTTATAGTATATTTACTCCTGGAGAATGACACAGATATAGATATATCTATAAAGTGGGATTAATACAATAAATATGTTTTGCTAAGAGCCACGTTACCTACGTCCGAGTGAAATTTTCGATAAAATGTGTTTTTATATATTTTTCGATATTTTTCTACGTGGTTCTACACTGCCAAGTCGTTAGTCTGGTATTTTTGGAGCTATCTATCACATAAAACATATTTTTGTCGCAAATATACACGTCATTAATTTATGTCATAATAAATTTGGCGAATCAAAATAGCCATTTTTTATTCTGGGTTGCTAAGTAGTATCGTCTTTGTATTTAAGAATGGAGAGTTTTTTTGAGGGCGCCAACAAATAAAAAGCACTGTGCATCAAAAACTGTGCATCAATGTTTTTTTTCCACAAATTTTATTAAAGTTGACGAAAAAGGGAGCAAACATTTTTTCATTTACAACAAATTTATTTGACGCTTATATCAGAAATATACTTTTCATATTCACTGATTTTTTTTAATAGGAATATATTACAATAATGTTAAAATATATTACATCACCAAAATGATACTTTAAACATAAATGGAGATATGTAAATAAAACATTATTTAATATAAAACAATCTCAAAACTGGTGCTTTACTTGAAAATTAAATCTGTATAATACTGTCCAAAGAAGTCTTAAGATTTTGAGAAAGGTAGAAATCAATGAATGTAATAAATCCGCGTCACTCTATACTATATACATAATTGTTTTTTTATTATTTTAAGAATGGCTGTTCACGGGATTTATAGAAGACAATAACTACTAATAATGGCAGTAAAGATATAGAAAGCCAAGGTTAAAATTTGTGTTCATTAAAATTTCCGACAGCAAGACACATACTCAGATCAGATGTATTTCATATTACACTATATCAAAATCCTGTACTCTACAATCCTGTGGAAATGTGGAAAACAATTCGATTTTTTCAGTTCAAACCTTAGACCACATTAAAACACTTTATATCCTTTTTCGCGCTACTAGGCGACGCCACTGGAGTAGGTCGACAAGACAATGCGATCACAGGTATGGGTTGGTATCCAGGATACCTACACGGTGTACCAGAAAGCCGCAGCATTGGCAAAGTTCAAACCTTACTCGAACAAGTAAACTATGCATGTTAATTACGCCGGGGTAGCAATTATATCTGTGTACAAGTAATTAATTACAAGAATTCAGTAATTCCTAAGAAATTTAAACATATGCTTATATAAAAAACTAAACAATTCGTTTCTACAGAAGTTCTGCAATGGTCGATATCTTAGAGTACCACGAATTTGCCCGATTGTTTTATTTTCATTAAAAGTTAGTAATGTTTTCTGTCGAAATAAATTTATTCACAAAGTGTGAGCAATCGGTATTAACACATTTTTACTGAAAAACAAAAAAATCATTAACTATAATTCTAGTAATCTAAACAGAGCAAAGTCCATCAATAATAACTACGCTACTATTAGTATTACTAACCGCGTCCATTGTATGTAAATTTGTAATTTATAAATGTTACTCCACGCTGATTTACGAAGCATAACACAAGAAAATACTTTCTAAAAAGCAAATATGCTGAGAAATATACCCAACTTCTCATGCAGCATTTCATGTATTTAATCCCGCTTCAACGATATATCTAAAATTAAGTACTGATAGAGTTAAATTAGGAAAATAAGTTTACATATTACAAAATATTCCCTATCAATACTCATTTTAAACTCTTGTTTAGTACGTCGTTATAATGCTCCACTTTTGAGCCGCCCTGTAGGAGTAGACGACGTGGACGAGATGCCTCGCCACCCATCAAAATTGGCCCTGGCGCCTCGACTATCTTCAACTGTTTCTCAACCGGCACAGCCGCCTATGCGCCAGACTTTTTCGTCCTCTCATCATTGGAGCCACGGCAAGAGTTGTTTCTCTAAAATAATTAGTGGTCTCCCATCGAGATGGAAACCCGTGGGCTTAGACCTATGTTTATCTTACTTTTTCTAAGGCGGCGGTTGAGGTATATACAGAGTGAACCTTAAATATGCAAGCAGTAACATGTAATTAATAGTATTTTGTGGCAATAGGAGTAAAATTGGTCGAATTTAAAGAAAATACGGACGATTTTTTAAAAGAAAACTGTTTGGGAACCGCTGACATAAATCAACTATTCAGCGATGCCGATGTTACGCAGAAATCTTAAATTCTAACTTTTTATATGAAATTGGAAGAATAGATCTAAATAAATAAGCATGTTTTTATACGTTATAAAAAAAATACCTTCATCAAAATATTTATAGATTTTTCCTATCCTTCATCCTTTACTCCTGTGTTCATCAGAGATGACCGAAGTCACAAAAAACCAGAAGGCAGTGCTTATATTAAAAATACATACAGTTTAGAAATGTGCAATAGCCAACAGATAAATGACCAAAAATGACCGATTCTCCTGTAAGTTACTGATTTTTAAGTGATCAAGCATCATTATCATCAATGAACTATTGCTGCATAAACACTGAGTTGTTGCTAGATGAGTTCAGGTACCAGCAATATGCGCCAATGACAGACTGATG